AATAGCAACACTATAAAATAAATTTAAAAGTACTCTCAAATAAATCCTTGGTTTAGGGATTAACTCAAAGCCGCAATCACAGTGTGTTTAGAAATAAACTCAATTGTGTGAAATCAGGCAGGAGAGTCCAGAAAGGTTGGGTCTGTCAAGTTAGGGCCCTTATGCAACAGGCCTTGTGTTTCAAGGTGCTGAGTGGCTGTGCTGGGGGAGGAAGGCCGGCAAGCACATGCAAGGCAGGGGGCAGCCATCAGGAGGAGAAAGCACTACTGTTAGAGTCCTTTAGACCTGGATTTGAGTGCTGCTTCTCTCTCTTTCAATGGCCACTGTGGGTATCTCGATATCTCCCCATTTCTGTGTCTCAGCCTACTTATTCAAAAGTAAGGGCGTTGACCTGTCAGAATGGCCATCACCAATAAATAAAAAATGACAAGTTATAGTGAGGATGTGGTGAAAAGGGAACCCTTGTGCACTGTTGGTGGAAATGCAGATTGGTGCAGCCACTAGCAAAAATGTTTGGAGTTTCCTTAAAAAATTAAAAATGGATCTGCCTTGGGCCTTGACCTGGTGGCTCGGTTGGTTGGAGCATCGTCCCATACACCAGAACGGTTGTGGGTTCAATCCTCAGCCAGGTGTGTATGGGAAGCAACCGCTTCATGTTTCTCTCTCACATTGATGTTTCTCTCCCTACCCCCCATTCCCTTCCTTCTTCTCTCTCTAAAGAAATCAGTTTTAAAAAACCACATACCCTTGGGTGGGGATTTAAAAATTAAAAATATATAAAGAATAAAAATGGATTTGCCTTATGACCCAGCGATTCCACTTCTGAGTATATAGCTGTAAAAACCCAGAACACTAACTCGAAAGAATATATGTATCCCTATGTTCATAGCAGCATTATTTACAATAGCCAAGATATGGAAGCAGCCCAAGTGCCCTTCAGTAGATGAGTGGATAAAAAATCTGTGGTATATACAATGAAATATTACTTGGCCATCAAAGAGAATGAAGCCTGGCCGGAGTGGCTCAGGGGTTGAATGTCGAACTATGAACCAGGAGGTCATGGTTCGATTCCTGGTCAGGGCACATGCCTGAGTTATGGGCTCGATCTCCATGTGGGGCATGCAGGAGACAGCTGATCAATGATTCTCTCTCATCATTGGTGTTTCTATCTCTCTATCCCGCTCCCTTCTTCTCTGAAATCAATAAAATTTTATTTTAAGAAGAATGAAATCTTACCATTTGGGATAGCATGGATGTACCTATGCTCAATGAAATAAGTCAGTCAGAGAAAGATAAATACCATATAATTTCACTTATATGTGGAATCTAAAGAACTAAATAAATGAACAAACAAAATTGAAACAGACTTATCGACACAGAGCGACACAGAGCGAACTGGTGAATGCCAGAAAGGAGCGGGGGACATTGGGTAAAAGAAGTGAAGGGATTAAGAAGTACCAATTAGTAGTTACAAAATAGTCACAGGGAAGTTAAGTAAAGATTAGGGAATATAGTCAATAATATTGTGATAACTATGTGTAATGCCATTTGGGGTACTGGAAATATCGAGGAGAACACTATGTAAAGTATATGATTGTCTAATCACTAAGCTGTATACCTGAAACCAATACAAAATAAAACCGAAAGAAAAAAAGCTAAGGGTGTTGCTCTATATCAGGGGTTCTCCACCCTCCTTGGGCATCACAATTACCTGAGAAGTTTTAAAATAATAGTGATGTCAGCCTTTGTGCCCGGAGATTCTGATTCAGTTGGTTTGGAGTGGAACGAAGTCATTACTATTTTTAAAAATCTTCCAATGTGATTCCAGTGTGCAGCCAGGGTAGAGCATCCCAGAGCTAGATGATTTTGCAGGTTTCTACAATCCAACAGTGCTAGTAGGCACCTGCAGTCTTCGCCCAGGGAAGGAAGTTTTAGGAGGTGAAAGCCAGAGGAACAGTGATGCTAAGCCATCTAATCCAAGTGTGCATTGTCTCAAATGGTGCAGAAAATGTCAGTGCCAGTTCACATTCTGCACCCAACATGATTTAGACCCGGGGCATATATTGTACTCCAAGCCCATTGTAAACACAATGGACCATTTATTCACTGAACAGTAACCACTGTAATTACCTACAGGGCAAACATATGAGGTTGTTCAAGCAACAATTAATTGTGGACCTGGAACTAATGGGACAATAATGGCAAAGTATCAACCGGAGTGTGATTCAGAAATCGCATCAGAAAACCAACATTTTCCAAAATGTATTAGGAAAGCATTTTGGGGATGTGATGGCACATACACCATCGAAGGCCCTGAAATAGTTGCTCCCTGATTTTTCTAATAGCTCCTTCTTGTGCTGGTAATTGTAGGAGCCTCGAATTGTTTTAATATTGAGAAAAATCATGAACAGTGGGTTTTAGGGGACTGCAGAGCTTCTTTTTATTGAGCTCACTATGGGACCTAAATATCACCTGCATGCTGGAGTGCTGATCTCGTTTGGGTTTTAAGATCCTCTTTGTGAATCTGATGGAAGTGGTGGATCCTCTTTTCAGAAAACTTTGTGTCTGTCTGCACATACACACCCATACCAGCTTTTTCATACAGTTTTTGGGGAGCTCATAGACATCTTGAAGCCCCTCTCTGTTCTCTCTAGGTCAAGGTCCAGCCTCTGTTTGCATACCTCCAGACACTGGGATCTCACTACTTTAAACAGCAGGCCTTTCATTGCTGAACAACTCTGAATGCTAGTGTTCCTCAATCTGTCCAGCTGGGATTTTCCTCTCTGCAGGCTCTTCCCATTGGTCCTTGTTGTAATTTTTAAATAGCCACTCTATCCTTGACCTTTACCAGTCTTGGGATGGTGTCCCTGTCTCTAAGGATCTTAAAAATTGGTTCTTCTAGGGCTCCTTAGTTCCAGGTGACAGCAGATGAGCTGTTTGGTGTGTGTTCAGCTTCACACACCAACAGTGTAGGCTGCTGAGGGGACACAGGAGATCCAGGGATCCTGAGTAGTGGCTGTCTGCCTTCTGAGACAGATCAGGAAAAGGGACAAATCTCCACTGCCCCCACTCTGCCAGAGTCTTGGGGGGAGGGGGCGGGGGCGGGGAGAAGGAGTGCTTCCTCAGGTTACAAGAGCATCTTCAGCTGGTGCCTGAGGGTGCCAGGATGTTATTTCCTTGGGTGCTGAAATTGGACTCTGAGAAGTATTAGATCTGGAGCTGCTCCTGGGAAGTTTGGGAAGAAAGCTGGTGGTAGCAAAGAGTGAGCTTGCTTCAACCATGCCCTTTTTGGATCAAAGTTTTAAATGAAACAAATGAAGGAAAGAAAGGAAGGGACTGAGGGAGGGAGCAAGGGAGGGAGGGAGGGAGGGGAACAGAAGGAAGAAGGAAGGGAAAGATGACAGATTAGAAGAAACCATGAAGCAATTTTTATAATCTTAGAGTGGGAAATACAACACCAAACCTGAAGACATAAAATTTAAAAGTAGATAAATTCAACCACATTTTTTAAAAAAATTTCCATATGGTAGAAGACACTATAAGAAACATCAAAAGAAAAGGTATACAACTGGGAGAGAAATTAGTAACTTATATCACAAAGGGCTAATTTCCTTAATAGAAAAGATTATTTCTACCAACTGATCCGTAAAATGAGCCCAGTTGGAAAACAGGCAAAGGATGCAAATTGCTCTCAAACATAGAAGGAGATACTCACCCTCACTAATAATAAGGTAAATGCAAATTAGAACTATAAGATACCATTCTCCCACCATCACACAGCAAAGATCAAAAAGGTTGATAGGCACCTTCTGTGGATTAGGCCGAGGGAAGGGAGAGCAGAGATCAGAGGAAGTGTTATGGAAGAGGTGACATTTGAGCTAGGCCTTGTAGGACATCATTAAAATCCAAGTTAGCAACTTACTGGCACTTAAAAAGAAGAAATAATAAAAGGGAAGAGGAGCAGATTTGACTACTTAGTATAAATTAAAATACACACTCAAAATGGGAAAGCAAACAAACTGGGATACAGCAACTGTAACAGTCTGAGTTGAACGTTATACATATAAAAGTCTTCATTAAACTCAATAAGAAAAGTATTAGAATACCACTCAGAAAATAAAAGACATGAAAAAGCAAATTCCTGAAATAGAACATACTACTGGTTAATGACCACATGGAAAAAGATTAATTATGCATAACCAATGATTGCAATATGATTCCAGTTTTTCAGGGATAAATCATTATAAAATTAAAATAATGTTTTAGTTCCTCTGTTGAATGTGGTAAAATGGGCTCTCTAATCATACCTGGCTAGTGGGTATGTAAATGGATACAATCCTTTTTGGAAGTAAGGATCGAGTCTTTAAAAATCGCATATCCTTTATCTGGGAAATTTTACATCACAGACTTTTATCCTATAGAAATAGACTGAAATTTTTAAAAAAAATGCTGTGCACAAGGATGCTTGCAGAATAATATGACAATGACAAGTTGGAAACAATCTAAATGCCCCCCAATTAGAGATGATTCAATAAATGATGTTTATTTACATACACTAGAATATTATGCAGCTGTAAAAATGTTTACAAAGAGTTTTTAATAGGGTGGCTGAGTACTTGTGTGATAATGCTAAGTGTGTGGACTGAGGGGGGTGGAGAGAAACAGTTCAATTACATATGTGGAATGACCTCAGGATTTTTTTTAGAAGTAATGTGCATGGAAAAAAGACCAGAAGTCAATAGACTACAATATTAATGGTGGTTCTTTGGTGAGGGGTAAAATATTGGCTCATTTTTCTTCCTTCTTTCTCCGTATTTTGCATTTTTTAAATATTCTCTTTCATCATAATGCATTACTTTTATAATAAAAAGGTTTAAAAATATCTTGCCCTGTGTGTTTGGGCCAAAATCAGAACTAAAGCTCTCTTCTGCTCCAAAAGATCCTGGGCTCAGAGCAGTGAGGCCCACCAGTAAAAGTGTTCTCTCTTTTGTGTTTTTCAGCTTTCCTTTGCCGCGACCACACCTGTCCTGGCTGATAAGAAAAAATACCCTTACTTCTTCCGAACTGTCCCGTCAGACAATGCGGTGAATCCAGCCATCCTGAAGCTGCTAAAGCACTTCCAGTGGAAGCGAGTGGGCACACTAACCCAGGACGTGCAGAGATTCTCCGAGGTATGCTTTGCTGAGGGGTCAAGCTCTCACCTCCCTGTTGGCCGCTGTCATCTCCAGGCACTGGCATTATGGCTGAATCAGGGATGGGCAGTATCACAGGGCTTTTAAGCAGACATTTATTAGCAGGACCAAAGTCCTTTTACCTTTGACAAAACAGAGCTGGTGGCTGAGGAATTTGTGCATGGGACAGGTGAAAACCTCCGTTCTAGATCGCTCAGGAGTGAACCCTTCCCTTTCATTGTGCCTTTGGCTAAATCCTGTAGCTTATTCCCTCACTGCCCCTATAGGTTTGTTGTCCTTGTTGCTGATGCTGTAGTGACCATCTAAAAATCATGACAGGGTAGAGGGGTTAATGGGAGGTGGGCGGGGGCGGGAATGGAGGACATCTGTAGCACTTGAAACACAAAAACAAACAAACAAACAAAAAAATGCCAAAATATAAAGTAAAAAAATAAAAAGGTTGCTAATTGCCCTAAATCCCACATCCTCTCCCACTCTCAGTTCAGTGTTCATCTGCCCAGTTTTTTTTTCATTATATTTATTTAAACTCAATGATGTCATACTGTAGATTTTGCTTTTTTCATTTTACAACAGATCTTAGAAGTCTTGATTGATCTCATGCTTATTAATGGTCCATGGTGTTCTGTCAGATGGATAGATGATAATGTATTGAACCAGGCCCCTATGGATGTGTATAGCTTTTTAACATCACAGCCAACACCTTCCCACCTGGCAGATTTCTAGAAGTGGAATTACTGAGTCATTTAAAATAGTGAGATAAATTGACTTCCAGAAAGGCTGTTCCAATTTCTAGTCCCACCAATGTGTTTGAAAATTTCCATTTCCCCACATCCTTACTAAGAGTGGATATTATCAAATGTTTAAAAAGGTTTCCCACTCAAATGAGGGCAAAATTGTCTCTTGTCTTTCTTCCCATTCTCCTTATAGTTCCTACTTTCCTGTCTCCTTGAACTTGGAGCCTCCCAGCAAAGCAAGACATTCCAGGTGTGCTTAGATGCCCAAGAGGAAAACACGGAGCCCAGTGGGGAGGAAGGCGAGAGATAGATGCCCAGGCCAACCTCAGGGGGAGGAGTTGGAAAGGGCCCACCCATTCTGGCAGGAGGGTGGGGGCAGAAAGGGCTGGGAATTACTAGAACTGATTTCCACTCCAGCCTTGCACTTACCTTTCTGCGGCTCTGCCCATCTCTCCCAGGGGAGGGACAGGCCACTCGATGCATTGACCTTGGAGAAGTCACCTCTCTTCGTTCAGCTGCGATGTCCTCCCCTATCCCTTCAGGATTCTTACCAAAATCTGATGAGTCATGGATTTGAAAGAACTCTGGCAACTGTAAAGTTCATGCACAGAGAGGGGTGTTTGGGGAGGTGCTTGAAAAACCTAAGTGTTTGGCCCCACCCTCTGTGGTTAACCAAACAAGGCATGCTTTTCCCAGGCAGGACTGGCCCCCCTCTTCCCACCTCTCTGCTTCTCAGTCCCTAGGGTGAGGCACAAAGAAAACTTGACCTCTCGCAGGAGCGACTCATTGCCAAACACTGAAGAGGCTTTTGCTGAAAGACTGCCCTTTAGTTAGGCAGCCACAAATGTTCTGAAATGAGTATGAGACTGGTTGAGGGGGAGGATGGGGAAGGCCAGTCTGTGGCCCCATTAACATGGGACTCTGCAGCAACTTGGAGGGACCTGCTTTCTTCCAATAGAGTCTTTGGCTGTCAGAGCCTGAGGGGCCCTTAGAGACACTTTCCTAACCCCCTCATTGTATAAAAGGGGAAACTGAGGCCCAGTGAGGGGATGGGAAAACGTTCAGGGTTTCAGAGCATCTCTGAAGCCAGGAAAGATTGTTCACAAAAAAGTCAGGACTAAATCCTGGTCCAGACTCCCATTCCAGACTCCCATTGCTCCTTCTTTCCATCCATAACTTCCTGAAGTCACAAGCGAACTGCATGTGACCCAGAAGAGTAGAAAAACCTGAAAGCCTTGACCTAAAGAGATTACATTTTCAGCCCTGGCTTGGTTGAGTGCTTTATGGATTCCCTAACACTCTCACTGCCAACCACCCTTTAGGGAGGAGTTATGGTTCCCAGCTGACAGAGGAGGGAATTGAGGCTTGCAGAGGGGGTTGCCTCTTGCCCCAGGGCACATGCTGGTGAAGAGCCCAGCTGAGGTTGGAAGCCCGGACCTCCCCTCCGGAGTACTGGTCAGTGTTTTATCCATTATGCTGTCCCCACCCACTGGGGTCAGGTATTGACAGTTTGGTAGCACATCTCCCTCCGTGCACAGCTGTGTGGGGGCCCTCAGCCGAGTTTCAGGGCATCAGAGGGAAACCTCCTTTCTGAGGACAGGATGTTGCTTGGTGGTATTGCTGGCAAGAACCCCTTTCGATTTAAATCTCTCCGCCCAGCTGACTCCTCTCTGTGCCCAAGGGCTTTGGCATCCCCCTCCTGATGTCTGGGCTGCTTCGCTGGAGTGCAGGCCCTGGAAACTCGCCAGGGCCTAACAGCTTTTTGTGAGTGCAAAGGAAACTGGATTCCTTTTATGAAACTGGTCGATCTGCAGCATCGAGCACTTCTGTTCCGGACTGGTGCACTGGAAGGAATGTCAAATGAAAGCAATCCTGAAGCTGGAGGGAGCTGGGGAGAAAACCTCAGTAACAAGGAGCTCATTACATCGGGACTGAAAGGGGGGAAGAGTTGAGGGCCATCCCACCTTGGGACCAGCTGCTCCTTCGAACCCAGGACAACTGAGATTTAAGGCCAGTGGGTGGTGACCCAGAGGCTACTCAGGCTTTGGGTCAGATGTGCCCGTCTCTAGGCCCAGCTTTGCCAAGCAATGGCTGTGAGACACCAGGCAGTTCACTTCACCTGAATGAGATCCCAGATTCCCTTCTGTAAAATAGGGAGATTTAGTCCCACCTCACAGGCACTGGGAAATGAGAAAACATAAGTGAAAGACTTATGCATACTTGGTGCTATTAAATGGACATTCTCTTTGCCACTATTCATGAGACAGACTCTAGAAATGCATATCCATTCACTTAAAAAATAATGATGTGGCCTGTGATGTGCCAAGCCCTGAGCTGTCGAGGGCCAGAGAGGAAAGAACATGGCCGGGGTCAGTAGGTATCAGGCCTTCTTCATCGGCTTCTCACTCTGGCTGCTCATTGGAATCACCAGGGGAATTTATTTTTAACACAAACATTTAAATTTTATAACTTGGGTTTTTTCCCTTCCCTCTCCCCTTCCCCACATTTTTAACAGCTTTATTGGGATAATTTATATCGCATACAACTCATTCCATTGTTAGTATACAGTTCAATTATTTTTAGAAAGTTTATAATAGTTGTGCAGCCATCGTCACAGCCCAATCTTAGGACACTCCTATCACTAAAAGTTCTCTCATGCCCGTTTGTCATCAGTCCTGCCCCCAGCCCAGGTTTGTTTGCTTGCGCTATAGTTTTGCCTTTTCTGAAATTTTCATATAATTATATAACATGTATTTTTTTGTGCTTGGCTTCTTTTTAGCACAATGTTTTTGAAGACTATCCATGTACATGTATCAGAAGTTTGTTTCTTTATACAGCTAAGTTGTAGTCCCCTATATGGATAGGGTACATTGTTTAATCACCAGTGGAGCTTTACAAATCCTGGTGCCCAGGCCAGCCCTCAGAACAGTTACATGAAATGACCCCAGAATTAGAACGCTTTTAGGCTTTCCGGGTGATTTCAGTGTGCCCCCAGTACTGCGTCCTTCACCACTGGCTCAGGGATGCAGGGTGGAAATGATGCCCTCTAGTGATGGGAGCCCTTGCACTCAGAGCAACCCAGTCTGCTTGGCAGTGTGACTGTCTTCAGCAGTCCGGTGGCTGTGGAGGAGGATGGAGAAGGTGGAGAACAGCCTTGCCCCAGCCCTGGGACTCTGCCAGGTGGCAGACAGAGTGGGTATGGATGGTGAAGATTGAGGGTGCTGCTGAGAGGGTGGTCCAGGGCCCCAAGATGGAGAGGGGTAGGCAGGCAGGTGAACTGTGGGCTTGGAAGAAGTGGGGCCCTGGAAGTCTCTTACAAACTTGATGATGTGGGGGTAAGGGAGCTGGAAGGAGGGGAGGCTGTGGTCAGAGCTGGAAGAGGACGTAGGGATTGAGGACCCAGGCCCTGGCTGTGCGTGAATAGCTAAAGCAGAGTGATGGTAGAGATAACCAGGGGCAAAGAAGTCAGAGGCCAGAATGCAGAGTGACACCCATGTGGGCACTTCAGGCACAGGATGGAGGCAGGGCTTGGGTGGCAATAAAGGCAGTGAGCACCAGTGTCTGGAAGGACCAGCGGAGAATAACATGGGTATTTAGGCCTCTCCCCTCAGGTCCAGGTCCTATCATTTATTCTTCAGGCTTCCAGGTTTTGATGCAATTAACCAACTATGTATCCCGGGACAAATCACTCAGTCTCTCTGGGACTCGGTTTCCCCTTCTATAAGTTAAGGGAGATGGGCCAGTTGACTCTAAAAATCATTACTAGCTTAAAGAATTTGTGATGAGGACTTAGAGAGATCTGGTTATTGACCTTGATCTTGCCATTCCCAAGGGAGGAGCCATGAGAATTATTTACCCCTTTATGCCTCCATTTCTTCATCTTGAAAAGGTGGATAATGTCAGTGCTAGCTAACTCTTAGGGTTGTCATGAGGATTAAATGTGCTCAGAAACCTAATGTGCTAAGAGAAGTGCCTGGCTCATAATGAACACCATGCAAGGGATAGCTGTTAGATTTTTTATCATCTAGAATCTGGTTTCTTAGCACATAGCTGACCCCCATTCAGGAGCCCAGCTGTGTGGCTTGGTTTTATACCTGCCACTAGCATCACTTCCCTCCCTCCCCACCCTCCAAGCCGGCTTGGCGACTCCCTGCCAGTCACTGGTCCTCAGTGATCTGGAGCTTTCTGGGGCTGACCTTTCTGTGCCAGAGGCCTCCCCCAAGTGTCGGGACCCACCGAGGCCCT